TTATTATTATTTATTTATTTATTTATTTATTTATTTATTTCAACGCCAAGACCATTTTTAGATGGAAAGTTTGACATAAAAGGTTCATGGGATTAAAAGTAAAAGTAGTACTTGGAGAACCATGTAACATTTTAGAACAAAGAAGAAAATCAAATTTTAGCTAAGTCTGTCTTTTTGAATTGCAGACAAAAGCTAGTTTACACAAGGCCTTTGTTATCTAAAGCTATTCTACAGATAAATTCAGCGAGGAGGCAGAGAAACGGCCAGCAGCATTCTCCCTGCAGGTCCTTAGCAACCCCTCCGAGAAACTAATAACCTGAGCTTCACACATTTTATCTCCTACTCAGAAAATACAAAGGTTTGGAGAAAGTTCATCTTTGGGGCTTGACTTATTTCACATTATTTACATGTTAAAGTTTCCACTGGCTGTAGTTATAAAGATTAAAATAAATGCTGTAAAACTTTTATAAGGTGGTAGCTGCTTCAACTAGAATGTGTGATTTTAGATGTGTTCCACACCTTATGATAAATGTTGAGTTTATTTGCTGAAGGATGTTTTTCTCAGAGTAGATGTGCTCCTGTTGTCTGGTGTCCACAATGTGCTTCTTTTTAATGCACTTCAGAGCAAATGTGATATTTTCATCCTTAAGCTTCACCTGATACACAACAGAAAAGATTTATGAGCACATCAAGACACTAACATTGTATTTTATTTATCTAGTCAGATCTGGGAATGTCGTCACATTCTACATTACTGTGTTCAACAGCTAAAAAAATTAATATAATTTAATACTTATTCTCAGTAAAAAAGTCTTACTACTAATAATATAACCATTTAACAATGTGCTTTTAAGGATTCTAGATAGATAGATAGCTTTATTTTACAAATAGATCTATCTACCTCTATCTTTTAAGAATTCTGTGCATTCAAAACTGTAGCAACATGTTTCCTAATAGAAGGAATACAAGACTGTGTTTAACTCGTTACTCATTATCTCTAGTAAGCAAACAAAATAAAAAAATATATGTTTCTATCCACAAGAGAAGGCTGTACTAATGTTGCTGTGGCTCACCAGCTCCACTCGTCCAAACCCTCCCACACCCAGCGTAGCTATGACTTCAAGCTCTTTGAAAGGCTGGTGTGTCGGCAGCTCAGCAACTCTCTCCCTCAGCTTTTGTAGTTCCTGTGTCTCTGCAGAATCAATCTGATGTGAATGTGGCCTGAGTGAGAAATAATGTAAGCACAGGATTACATTTTGACTGATCTATGTCCGACCTGGTTCACCGCTGAACTGAAAACATTGAATAGCTCAGCTTAAAATGAATCTTAATGAAAAGCTATACATCAGTTTGTTTTGTCACTCAGGTACTCACAGGGCATTTCTCTTTTCATCACACCTGGAGAGCTCTTTCACATATTCTTTTAGATAAGCCTGAAGCTCCTCATAAGTTCCCACCATCTGGTTGAAATTGCTAAAAAAGAAGGGGAAACACAGGACTCTGACCTAAAATAAATTCAAGTAGGTAGATAGATAGATAGATAGATAGATAGATAGATAGATAGATAGATAGATAGATAGATAGATAGATAGATAGATAGATAGATAGA